CATGATGTTGTTTGGATTAAAATTATATTTGTTCATAGGAAAAAAAAAAGTGTCTGTTTTCAGCAGGTTTTTAAACGATACTATGGTATACTTTTAAAAGATCTAATTAAATTCATATCATTCGATAATTAATTAATTTATCCGGCTACAAAGACAAGTCTATTATCCATTACACAATATGATTCAACTAATACTCTCTTTTGTCCCAACTAATACTCTTTTATGGCGATAATGATTTTTTGGGGAATCATAATGTTAAAATAAAATTTCTTTTATATATGTAGAACTTCATTGAGATAAAACTACAGCTCAAGCATTTTTTTTGAGAGGTGGAGTCATGAGCAACCTGTCACGTGCCACGTAGAGGAAGACATAGCCTACGAGACGTCCACAACATAAGGTTACTTTCACTGATTTATTTCATTTTTCTTTCTCAAGTTTATATACATATCTAAATTATATATAACACATCAGCATGCATAATTATTAAGGTTTTTTTTTTGAATAGTGGTATCTTTTGGAAAACCGTAAAAGATCCTTTTAGAATATAAGAAAATAAAAAAGTGTTGGGGTATATTGTCGTATGGTCCCAGTCGCAGCTAGAAATAAAATGATATTCGTTGATGGGTTTGAAGTCACATGGTGCATGCTTTTCCATTTTTAGGCGTTTGATAAAATTGGCCAGTTTTGGTTTTGTGGTTTAGATTATTTTGTTACTTTTAACTTACGATATTTTCATTTATATATAAGAGAATCGAAACTGCATTAGTTTTTTTCTTTTACTTTGAATCTTTTCTGGTTGATCAAGGTTAAATTACACTATTTGTCGATTAGTTAGCAAAACTTATTAGAGAGTCGAAGAATATTAATACGCCTTTATTTCAGTTTTGTTTTTAACTGTCATACGAATAAAACGATTACAAGTATCACCACCAGACTTGAAATGTAGAAACTCATAAAAACAAGGAGCACTTTACCACTAGCCTAGATATGTTAGGGCTATTTCAGTTTTGATTCAACTGTGATCAAG